CCCCAAAACCCCAAAACCCCAAAACCCCAAAACCCCTAGGGGGAAATTTTAGGTTGATGGTTAGATTTTTAAATGAGTGATATTTTTAACCATCAGATGAGCCAAGTTGATGAAGTTAGGGTCTCAAGGATGAAGAGAGTCCATTTCTGGGTCTGTACTTTAAATGTAGCCTTACTGGTCTTTGGAATTGTAAGTATTGTGTTGGGATTTGCTAAATTTGTAAGAAAGAGTGGGCAGAGATTTATGAGGGTACAGAGGAGAGGGAGTTAATTAAGTTTGTGGATTTTTGAGGGCTTAGCATGTCCGGGCTGGTAAGATGAGATTTTTGAGATTTTGGGTGAATAGTTTTGGATATAGGCAACAGTCAATGCACGATTTAACCCTTACCTGCTTGTAGAAGTGGTAATGGGATGAGTATTTGTGGGATTTGCAGTGATATATGTTCATTTTCCAAGGACATGAATTGGGAGAAGTAGATCTACAAAAATTTTACTGATTTTGTATTTCCCCTTTTCAGCCATTTCAACTTTGTTTATGATAACATCAGCTTCACTGTTATGGTAAGTTTGGCTCTTTTTCCATTATTAAGTAGTGGTCAGTTATTCATTTTGTATAGGCCAATCTCAGGCATCTTCCCATGGCAAACAGAAGGTGTGAAAAATTTCGGAGATTATATGTTCTTTATATCTTGATTTCTCTTGGGAGTGATACCAACGATCCATTCTATCAGCGTCTTAATAGTCTGGAGAAATAGATCTAATATTGCTGCAAGACTTCAAAGTAAGATCATTGAATTCTTTGGACCTGTAAAAATCAGAGCCAAAAATCTCCTCAAAATAATCCTAATCTTTTCTAGACCAGGAAAGAACAAGATGGATGGTCGGCATCCCAGTTGAGACTAAATGCCACTTCATTCCAATCCACTCCACAATTCCTTCCTACACTCCTATCAATTCCTGACCCCCACCCTCCCATCATGAAGCACCATAAGTCTCACTTACAGTTCTAAACCCTAATTCCTCTAAAACCTCTCAAATTATTTTTACTATTTCGCCTCCTGCTAAAATTCAAATCTCTCACTTAAAATTTATAAAATCCACATGTAATTCCTATAGAAATTGCTACTCCATTCTTGTTTGGCCAGAGGCCAAACAAGAATGGCAACAGAAAGTCTACAGCTATTCCTTCATTTTTGATGTTTTTATATAGAAATTCCAAATCTTGTCTGATTTAAGGGGTTTTGGGGTTTTGGGGTTTTGGGGTTTTGGGG